CCCCCCCCCCCCCCCCCCCCCCCCACCTCCCCCGTACTCAAGTTTCTGAAAAGCTCAATAAGACTTGCAATTCTAAGGGGATATTAGGAAGTGACTGAATAAAAATGTCCTTCCGTATAGTTCCTGTTGCATTGCACTTCACTTAAGAAACCAAGGCCACTCTATACGTGACATGACATGCCAATAAGGAGAGTCTTTACATCTCATTGAGCATTAACAAACAACAGACAGTTTTCTATTTAAATTGGTTTTAGCTGAGTAGCAATACTGACCACCAAAAATGTGCCGCTATAAATGCTCGAAAGAGAGCCAATTTGTGATCGAATGTGACATGGAGGTAAGCAACGTCACACCAACTTCCAGCTGAGCCTAAGTGACGTAGGATGACGGAGGCTTCCCTAGTAACTTGCTCCAAAGAACACTTGTTTTGGTTCTCTTCTCACTTTCCTCTGAATACCCTCCCCCACCCACCTCCTCCTCCCTTGCTCTCCCTCCCTCTCTCTTCCACTTTCTAATGCCTTTTCTGACGATACAATCGACGAAACCCAGGCGACTTGACACATATCATCACACAATACATCACTCATCATTTCAAATTTCCCAGAACTATGCTCAAAATATTAGTCCATGTTTCCAAATACGGGTTGCGCTATAGACTTACCTCCACGTGGTGCACCCTGGGCATCCAATCTTTGTGCGACAAAAAAGTCTATCACTCGGCATTTGATTTGACTTCGATTTATTATGATTAGCTTGAAACAAGGCTATAAGAGAAATCGCCCTCGTCAGAGCGAATCACTGCGTCTACAGATTCTTCAGTGGAATTCTGGAGGGATGTCACAGGAAAAAAAGATCCAAGTCCAGAAAATCCTACAAAACTATGATGTAGACATTTTCACAATTATGGAAGCTAACATTTCGGATGACAAACTGAATTACTACCCATTCCCAGGTTACACCCTGTACCTTCTACCTAATTACCGGCAAGTTGCAAGTGGAATTCTGACTCGAGTAAAAGAAGGCCTCACCTCACCTTACGATCTAATCAAGAGTATAAGCTCGACGCAAGACATATGCACAATAATCAGATTGAATGCTTGGAAATGGCAAAAGCACTTCAAGATATATGCAGTCTATAATCCACCCCAGAATTGTCCCAACTTTGATTTTCTGAACATCTCACACCAAACTGTAGTATTAGGAGACTTCAACGCCCATTCCACCAGATGGGGTTACAAGGATACAAACATAGCTGGAAAGGAAATTGAAGACATGCAAAACAGCAACCCTCTGGAACTTATTTAAAGCAATGAGGATCCTGCTACATATTTGCACTACAATGGAACTAGTACAACTAGTAACTTACTCCTGGCTTCGAGCGACATCAGCGAGCATACGCGCCAAAAAAATTATTGACGATCCTGGTTCTGTTCACAAACCAGTCATTGCTAGTATTACCATCGGCANCAAACTACTAACAAACTGGTGCGACAACAATGGAATGGTAATCAACACCTCAAAAAGTGCATTCCAAAATTTTCTTCGGCCCGTCACAGCATAAACCCACTTCTAAGGTACAAGGATACTACCATAGAAAAAACCAATGAGTTCACATATTTCGGAATGACGTTTGACACGAAGCTAACGTGGGTAGTCATATAGCCAAAAATAGCAGAACGAATCCCCAATAGACTGAATGTACTGAAGCGTCTTGCTGATAGCGTATGGGGCTGTGCACGCTCAACTCTCAACACCACTTACAAGATGTTTATTCAGCCAACAATGTTGTATTGCTGTGAGCCACTCATTACAGCCACAAAGGTGACTATTAAACCACTTGAGAAGGCTCGCAGCCAAGCATTATGACAAATTTCTGGAGGTATGAAATCAACACCCATTGATGCAATGCTCCCAGTTACAGGAAGCACCACAATATGTTCCCTTATCAAAGAGAAGGCCTTGATCCTCTATGAGAAGCTACTGTGTATTCCTATGAGAATGGACCAAGACATCTGAAAACGCAATCTGCTCTAATACAGAAAGCCATAGAACTGAAGGAAGCATTGCAAATCGATGACAAACCAAAAGCCTCTCTCTCTCTACCCATGAACCCATTAGCAGACATTGATGTAGTGTGTTGCACCCAACTGCTTGAATTCTTCAGGAAATCAAACACCCCTCCAGAACAAATGCACTCACTGGCCCTTGAGACAATCATTGTCAACTATCCTGCTGATCAATGGTTCCAAGTCTTCACTGATGTGTCAGACATAGAAAACCAAGCGAACGTTGGTTCAGGTGTCTATTCTGAACTCTTCTCTTTCTATGCAGCAACGAGACACAATAGATCCGATTTCGAAGGAGAAATAGAGGCCATTAGGATAGCACTATGCCAATTATGTTGTCTGGATACGAAATTCACCAAAGCGGTGATACTTTCGGACTCACAGTCAGCTATAAACTCAATTGGAAACAGAGAGCCACCCAAAACAGCTGGGACAATGGAATGTAGACACCTCCATCAGTTGCTGAGAGAGAAAAACAAAAAAGTGGTCCTACAATGGATTTCTGGTCACTGTGGCATTAAAAGCAATGAGCTCGCTGACACACTTGCTAAGAAGGGGACAACGATTTTGGAATGAATGGACAGCCCGATATCTTTCCACACGATGAAGACCTTAATCAGGAGAGAATTACACACCTCAAGGTGCAACGAACTCAAAGCTCGAACAAGGGAGAAACAGTGGACAGTGGCACTCTCCGACATACCCGACTGCCCAAGAATCGAAGCCGTTGCTGAGTTTAGACTACGTGTCGGACACGAATGCCTGGCCAAACACCTTCACAGATTGGGAGTATACACTCAACCCACATGCCCCTATGTAACCTTCAGGAGGAAATGGAGAAGACCCATCTCTTTCGGTGTCCAGCCCTAAAGACAAGTACGGAAAGCCAGAGATACTGGGAAGCAGGAAGACAGCTAATCCACTACTATTAATTTACTGCTACATATGTAACCCCCACCCTTGGGGGAAGCTGAGGTCAACGTTTAAGGGCTAATGTTAGATATCATACAGCCTGCCATTTGAAATAAATAAATGTTTCCTGATGTCAAGGCCCTAGAGGAGGAAGAGAAACGCAAAATTTGTAAAGCATACTAGAGAAGAACTTCTTTAATACAAACATTACTCCATTCTTACTTCTCAATGCATCAAATAAGTTTAAATACTGTTTTAAAAATCTGCTTCAAAACTTACATTCAGTGATTTTTTGAATAATCATTGATTTTGGGATTGAAGAATAAAGTGGTGATTCTCGATTATAGCACCTCGGCTCGATTTCTACCTTAAAAGTTTTTCCCTTAAATTCATAGGTATTTTGACGTGTGTATAAAATACGGGATTCCATATTTGAGTCACCGTCTTTGTATTGAATGTGATATCCCTGAGACGACGAACAATCGGTTGGAAAGTCAGCTGCGTCAAAGGTAAGTCTTGCCCGGGTCTTCCCAATTTGGCACAGTTGGATATTTTGTACTGAAAGTTCTATAGGAAAGGAAAAAGTGCATACGCAGTTACAATTTATTTTCTCTAATTTATTTCAAGCAATTGCAATCATTTCAAGTCTAACGATCTATCACTTCAAGTTTAATTCACATCCTAATATTTACAAGCCACGCAAATACTAGTTTGCGTTAGATTGGCAGACAATTGTATTTTTTAATTACTTTCACTTAATCCCCATTAAGATTATTTGCACACATTTAGAGAAAAATCGTTAGCATATTCACTTGAACAACGTGTTTCTCCTTAACATCGTTGAGTCTACACCCATACTGCACTTTGTGCATAGATTGACATTTCCATTTATTTGTACAAAGATACTGCACGTGATTTTGCCAACACTCGCGAATGGAGATTATTTGCTGAGAAGTGTTTATGCAGGAAATTTATTTGTAATTATGATAATTTTCCTTGCTCTAACACAATGTAATTGAGATGTTGGTGTCACTACGTCATCGGGTATTTCAAACGCGTATAGTGCTGAGAGTGGGTGGATCGACATTGAAGGTACCAGCAACATCTACTACACTTGATGGAGGAAGTCTACTTGAATGAATGCCAAGGATGTCTTCAAATTGTCATGGAATTAATTCAGAAATGGTTAATAATTTGTCAGCTAGTCGTAAGGTGGGTGGGGGACTCCTTTAAGTAAACTGAATGAACGACTCCTTTCTTATAGTTGATAAATTCAATATCTCCTTTTAGATGGTAAGTTAAACAGACCACCAACATTACGCAGAAATGTAAAAATAGCGACAAAACAGGTTGAATGGGTAAAACTGTTCCAAATAGAGTGCAAATAACGAGGATACTTACGTTCTTGAGACTGTGTCGTGACAACAAGAAGTGTCACACAGATGTATGAATGACACCGCATTCTTGAAGACTGTAAATACGTTGGTGTGGCAAACATTTATATACCAGGTATATATGACCCATGACCTGTCGGAATACAGGACACTTCTGGTTCAGCGGTAAAATAGATGTGAAAATATGTGCTCTGCACAATTTGGCAGAATCATATACTTAGGTGAATGGAAATATTGTTGTCTTAAAACCCGGTGAGTTATAAATTGAAATAGCTAAAATTCCACGAGTTGAATTAATTTGCTTCCATGGAAATATTTTAGATCTTATTTCACATTCTTAGTGCACTCATTATACATTATGTGTTCTCAAAATGGCATTATGACATCAACATCACTTCTAACTTACCATTGTCACTTGCAATACTTGAGTCCATTAGCCTATTAAGATTACCAAAAGTTGAATTGTTAGACCTCAGTCAACATAATTGTGTCCACTATGATCACCATAAGCTAATATCTATTGAGACTCTGATTTCTGTTGTGGAGTAAGCCTTGGAGACATCTCAGGGTGGGGGTGTTTGGGGGGCGGCGACAACGTTGAGTACTTCACCGCACATTTGTATGAAGAAGTCGCGTAAAAATAACATGTGCACGTGCTATTGCGGTCTCATGCCCCCACACCACCCAGAGCAATTTTGTCAGTCTCTCTATCAGTTCTCTCGCTATTACCAATAACAATTGTTAGTCACCTTGATAGTACACTGCATTCCTTGCATTAGTTGTATTTCTACAATCAAATGGAATTAGAGGAATTGTAGGCAATAGATTTGAATAAACAAGTGTCTAAATGTCGATGGCGGAATCATGAGTGGATTGCATGTGTGCAAGAATTTCCCAACTCTGTTCACCCTTTCGTTGCGTTCCATCTGCATGAGAAGAAATGCCATTTTATCAGTCTTTGACTACTTGTGAGCTTATCACCATGCGACGATAATGCTATTAGTTGCCAATAGTTAGGGAATAAGATTTGGTCTAACTTACTCTCTGAGTATTTCCATTCGTGAGGTGGAGTGGAGTGGAGTGGAAATACTTTTCACCAATGGCTTGTGAAGGGCTCCCTGTGCACATATGTGACAATTGGCCATAAGATGAAATCTCCAGGGAGCATGTGATTGTCATTTTGACAACGGTCATTCAAACAAGACCCCAACCTTGGTTTGCCTAGGAAATGCACATGTTCCATTAGTCTTACAGCCTATGAGAAGAAGAATGCTCAAGCCACTACTGCCTCAGCAATTTTCAAACTTATTGGTGACCTCCTAACGTTTTTCCAAGTAAATTATGTCACACCTTATTGATTGACGCATGTACCTTCCTCGAGAATGTGGTGTTATTTTTGCCTTTTTGCAAAATATCCCGTTGACATGTCAAAATGGCAATTTCAGTAATAGCGATAGAGCTACCAAAGTGGCTGCCAAAATTATTCTGCACAAGTGGGCGTCTGGGTGAGGCATGAGGCCACAATAGCACGTGCACACCTCATTTTCATGCGACGTCTTCATACTGCTGCTCAATGAAGTGCACAAGGTCGTAATGCCTGAAGAAAGGAGTAAGATGTGCAGTCAGACGAGGACAAAGTTGGGTGCGTGCTACTTGACGCGGAGTGAGCATGTGCCACCGTGAGCACAGAGACCTCTCCACCAAACACTAATCAGTAGTCACTGCATGACTTTATGAAACCTCACTTGTGCTATAGTGATTGTGCCAGTGAAACCTGCTTTCCTAGAGGTTTCTCCATAAATCTACAACTCACTCCACTCTTAATTGCCACAAGTGGCATGGTTTTTTCAAGATTGCTTATATGAAAATCAGTGCAAATACCTCAAGCGCCATTGCATTGACATCATTACTGCAAGTTAGCAAATGTCTTTGT